CTAAATTAAATTAATCTGGTCCTTACAGATAATATTCATGTTCAAAGTTAAAATTACTATTAGATTTTTTATTATAATGGTCAAATGTTTTGCATCAGAGAAATCGAACAAATCATGATGTAGATCGAAATCGCATGATTCAATTTTGGTGATATTCTGGTGTTAGATATTGTTGGTTTAGACAAATTAAAAAAAAAAAATTAGTTCAATACAACTTGTCTCTGAGAGACTATATAAATTTAAAATTTTTTTTTCATGTGATGCAAAACAAATAGAAGTCAGTGTATAATTCAATGTATCAATTTTATTTAAACATTAATAAAGAGAAACCTTGATCTGTAAATTTCAGAAGTTAATTTATAAATCAAATTAAGCTATCGAACTTGTAACCCTATAAATATTAAACTATTAACTATCTAACCTGTGATCTACAAATAATAATTGTTATACCATTTATACCCACTTTGTTCATGATTGAAGCTAAATCAGACCCTATTACTCAAAGCTCTCCCACTCAAACATAATATTTGGTGCTGATTGTGTAGACCTGAATGATACAAAAGGGAATTGAATATTAATTTTTAGTCTAAAGACATATAGAAATTGAAGTAACTTATCTGTCATAGATCCTTTGTTGGATGTTAACATTAACAATAATCATCATAGTCAGAAAGGTTAAGAAAATAGTTTCCAACATCAAATTTATTAATTATTAAGATTAATGGCTAGCATTCTACTCAGGCCCTTCAAAACAATCAAATATAAGAAATGAATGTAGTAACTATTCCCACATTTGCTGGAGGAAATCAAGATTTAGTGGCATGGTTAGAGTTAGTTAGCTATGCGTTTGAAGCAAATAATATTCAATGTGATCATTGAATAGCAGTAGTGGGTGCATATTTGACAGGAATAGCTACCATGTAGTAAAAAAACTAAAAGGAACACTAGGCCTTATATTGTTGATTGAGATAATGATTTTTATGCAGATATAAGTTTTGTTCACCAATTTCATCAAAACTTCTGTACCCAAAAGCTTATAAGCCAATAAAGTATCAAATTACTTACCAGATATTAGAAAGTAGGTAAAAATGTCAATCAATATGTATTGGAAATAGTTGCCTTATTTAGACAGGTTACTATAGTAAAAAACCATATCCTGAGGCAATGAAGATATAGATTTTTGTATAGGGTTTATGACCTAATCTGGTACTTACAGTAGAATTATTTATGCCAGAGACATTCAAACCCTTAATAATGTTCAACATTCAATCTTATTTTATTATAACTAACTTACAACATAAAAAGGCCAATATTACTTATACACAACTATTTCAAGTAGTCCCAAATATTAGAAAAGAAATTGCTAAAATAACTAGAGCCAGATATATAATCACTACCAAAATAACAAATTTTGTTTAAAACAAGATAAGAGTGTAAAAACTATATTAATATACTATGAAGCATGAGTTAAAAATCATCTAATTCTTTTAATATTGGATAGTAGATCATTAGAATGTGTAGTCTTGGCAGGCTTTTTAAAAGAATTAGACATATTGATTAATCACTCCTCAATAGTAATAATAATTAGAATATATGGAGAACAGAAATGCCCTTTAGATGAAGTAGATGAGTTTCTAATAACAGTTGGAGACAAAACAATTACCTCTCATGCAGTAGTAACAGATGCTAAGAATTATGCTGCAATTATCAGTAATGACTAGATAAAGAAGGCACAAGCTAGGTTAGATTGAAAAGAATATGAATTAATAATAAATAGTAGAAATAAAAAAAATAAGAATACCTACTGAATATTGCAGGCTTGCAAATATTAATGAACAAAGTAAAAAGAAAGAGAATTTAAAACAGAATAAAAAGAGAACTAATAAAGAAGAATATATGTCAGAAGAAAAACCAAATTGAAAAACAATGAAAGTGATGAAGACAATAACAAATATGAACAAAAAAACTTAGTAAATAAAACTTATTTATATTGAGAATTCTGAAAGATCAAAAAAAAAACTATAACTTGTAAAATATGTTGAAAGAGAGAACATAACACCAAAAAATAGATTTTTAATAAAAATAATAAGATAGAAACTATCTATATCTGCAAAAAAAAAGAAAAAAAGATTTTAATATAGGTTTATTGATAAATAAACAAGAAGTACAAATAAGAACATTATTAACAGAATATAAAGATATTTTTATAGAAGAATCTAGGAGATTAGAAAAGACTTTTATGATCCAACATAAAATATTTACTAAAAAAGAATATACTATTAAGCAAAAGTTTTATCACACTTCCAAACCTGAACATGATTTTATAAAAGCCAAAATAATATGTATAGAAAAGGCTAGTATTATTTATTGATCGTATAGCTTATGAGTCTTACCTATAGTTCTAGTAAAAAAGAAAAATAGGTTAATAAAATTTTGTATAGATTATAAGAAACTAAATAATATTACAAAACAGAATGGTTACTCTCTTTCTAGAATTAATGAATTATTAGACACTTTAAAACAATTTGCATGTTATACTATACTTGACTTAGCAAGTAGGTTTTAGCAAATAGAAATGCATTTATATGATAAAGAAAAAACTGTGTTAATATCCAGATTTGGGCTGTACAAATTTAATGTGATGCCCTTTGGGCTTACAAATACTCTAGCAACCTTTCAAAAATTAATAGATCGAGTTTTGCAAGACATCTTATAGAAATTTGTTTTAGTTTATATTGACAATATAACTATTTTCTATTTGATATTTGAAAATTATCTGATTCATGTAAATGAAGTTCTCTGAAAGATCAAAGCTACCAACCTGCAGCTGAATAAAAAAAAATATTATTTTGATTAATAGAAAATAATATTTTTAGAATATAAGTTATTTGAACAAGAAATAATATCTGAAGAACAAAAAGTTAAAGCAGTAAAAAGTGTTTCTATCACCAAAAAACTTAAGAGTCCTTCAAGCATTTTTAGACCTTACTAGGTTTTATTAACAATTTATAAAAGATTTTACTAGAATTGCTACATCTTTATACAAACTACTAAAGACTAAAATACAGTATAAATAAGGTATTGATTAACAAACTGCTTTTAAACAGTTAAAGAAAATATTAATAACTGCATCAGTATTAGTACACTCTAATGATAATAAAAGATATATTTTATATACCAATATTTCTTACATAGCTTTGGACACTATTTTAGTATAACTTAATAATAACAAGAAAGAACATGTTATTGAATATGCAAGCAAGTTTACCTGCCTTGTTAAAAAAAATTATACTATTACAGAACTCAAATATACTGCAATAGGATAGGCTATCAAAAAGTTCATATATACTTACATAAGCCAAAATTTACTATTATTACAGACTATTCAGCATTAGTATATTTAAACAATATGGCCAATCTCACAAGACAAATGGCTCAACTAATAATGATTCTTCAAGGATATAACTTTGTAATTAAACACTATTCTAGTAAACAACTTCCTTATATAGATAGGCTGTCTAGAATTAAACACTCAAACAAAAAAGTATCAACTTAATTAAAAACTATAAGAACAATATTAAAAAAAAAAAAAAAAAAAAAAAAAAAAAAAAAAAAAAAAAAAAAAAAAAAAAAAAAAAAAAAAAAAAAA